CACTGTCTGCATTTCTGTTTTTGCCATTTATTGTTTTTTTAAATCTCGATTACTGAAAAATATTTAATTATATTGTACAGACTTGGGTGTAAAGTGCACCACATTCCCTGTTCTTTTTTTATTTATATCTCACCCTAGTCCAAGTTTGGATATGAGAATATGGTAATTATTAGCAGGTTATTTCAAGGTTTCCTCCATGAAAGAAAAAAAAATTGAGAGAGGCTACTGTAGTGCAGGAAAATTCCAGGTCAGCAGCTTCTAAAATGCTGTGACTCCCATGTCTTAAGCTGGCCGCACACCTATAGATTATCTGCAGATTTTTTTTATGGCCAGATGGAAAAAGTGCAACAGAATCCTCCATCTACCTGCATCCAATCAGATTGTTTAGGAATGTTGAGAGCCAGGAGGACCGACTAGCAAGATACTGAAGCTTGGCCCATTGGGAGATTCCTCCATCCACACAGTGTAGTGTAGATGGAGGAATCTGTTGCACTTTCCAGCTAACCATAGATAAATCTATAGGTGTATGGCCAGCTTTAGGAGAGGAGCAAATCCAAAGACCTCATGATCAAAGGGGAACGCCCTGCATTCATAATCTTTCCTCCGTCTTCTAAGCCAAGTGACGTTGGGTGTCATTCATCCTAAAAGTCTTTTTAAACAACCACCATTTAACAGGACTTCTGGCATGCTTTCATATAAGGTGAAGAGTGAAGACACAACCCTGTCTGTGTGGCTGTGGCACAGGACGTGCAGGCCCTAGGGAAGAAGGGAAGACACTCAAGGCACCATAGAGAGCCAGCAGAACATCAAGAACTGAAAACAGCCCAGCAATATTGGCTCTGCAAATCTGCACAAAAGTGTTTTTTTGTATACCGGTTCATTTACGTAGTATTTAGCAGTATTTGTCTGGTCTATACTGCGCTGGTGTGAACAGAGGCCAGAAATAGCATAGGAATGCATTTTAGGTCCGGAAACAGTCTGGTCTGTTCTGGAGCTGATCCAGACATGGGTTGAATGGGCCCTGATTCCTTTTGTTATTACTACAATCAATACAATCCATTCACAGCCCAAAAGATAAAGTTGTGAACAATACACCTAGTTTATTATTTAAGAGACACTGTCACCATGTTGCTTTTTAAAATTGCAATTTCCACCTGTTCTACAAGCTTCTGTAGTCTATTTCCCCGCAGAGACCACCTCTTCTCAAGCTTGAGAAATCATCATCCCTGTCTGCTGGCTACTGCCATTTTGGGTAATCAAGTAGCACATCACTCCTGTCGGCAGCGCTACCACAGGCTGGGCATTGACAAATAAACTTAAAGAAGAACTATGAGGTGAGTGATTGCCACTCATCCTCAGAGCCGACCTGTGACAAAGAAGCTTTCACAGGTCGGCTCAATTGATTGGGAAGTGAGCAAACACATACCTGTGCTCGCTCACTTTCCGATCATCTTCCTGCAGTGACGGTCAGTCACCTCTCCCTGCAGGAATTCCCCCTCTATGATCCTCCAGTGCTGAGTGGAGGAATGGACAGGAAGGGGGTGGCCACAGCTGGCTCTGCCTCCTAGATAGGAAGAGCCCGCTGTCACTTATGCAGCTAGGTAGATCCAGACAGTATTGTCGGGATCCGTCCCGGCTGCGGGGCTCTCAGTATATCGCGGGCAATAGCCCGTGACATACTGAGTTTTTTGGGTCATGGGACCCTAAAGAGAACTATGGGGAAAAACACTTACCCCATAGTTCTCTTAAGTGCGCCTTGAAGGGTACAAGGCAAAAGTACAACATGAATAAAATAATCGACTAACACAGAGTACAGATTTTTTCAGGTTTCACAATTATTTCTTGAGGAAATTATGTAAGCTATTATATGATAAGTAGGAGCAGCCTTCAACAGACTATGCAGGCATTCACCTGTAACAAGACCAGGAGAAAAAGGGTAAATAGCCCCGCAAATACCCCCTGCTAAAGAGAAAGCAGTCACACCAGGAAGAACAGTATTGTCCAAGAAGGAAGAACAGAGAAGCTAGGACAGAAAAAGGGAAAGGGGAGAGAGAATGAAAAGAGAATAGAGTGCGGTCCACCTAGGGTGTCACCCCCAGCATAGGAACCTACATTTGCAGGAGGTCATGGTTCAAGCCAAGGGAAAGCAGGATCAAACAAAATTGCAAACAACATCTGTCAATTCTCTGATGATTTTAGAGAATGTTCTAATGAGATTTGTCTGAGCATTCATACCACAATCTACCAGTGTATGGTCCGCTTACCACTGCAACTCAACAGATTAAAACCAGAGTTCCCAGCAATAAGTACTTTTTCTTACCTGCACTGTACAGTGTGGATTGCTCACCTCTTCTTCCGAAAATGTTAGCTGCCTGTCATGATTATGCATAAGCTTCAATACTTTCTGAGGCACTGAGCTGAAACAAGTATGCAGCAGGTATTACCGTGTTTCCACGAAAATAAGACAGTCTTATATTTTTTGGGGCTCAAAAAAACACTCTAGATCTTATTTTTTTTATGTACAACAATCCACACTTATTCATGTACAACAGTTTACATGTATTCATGTACAAAAATATGGTGATCAGGGCAATCGGGTGCCGTACCTTTCCAAGAGCAATTTGCTAACCAATCGCTGGCCAGAATGAGCAAAGCGCACTTTCACTATTCACTACTCGCAGTCATTTTGGTGTCATCCCCCCTGAAAAGTTGGGCGCTCGGTCATGGACCGAACGCCTGACAGTATCAGGAGAGAGGAGGGGACCCGGCAGCATACCTTATCCCGCCGGGTGACTGTCCCCTCCTCTCTCTGCCGGCGTCCATCACCAAGAGGGCCTCCGGCAGGTATCAGAATACTGGCACGCGTGCGCGATGACGTCTCCGCGGGGTGACACTCAGTTACCGCCCGGGTGTCACCCAGCCTCGGGACACCCCTGGATGTGCCACCCCTCTCTTTAGCAAAGGCCCTTCCACAGGTGCCCCATTCTCCTGGTTACAGATCTGTCTTCAGTCCCTTCCCCCATACACAGACACCTCCCCTCTCAGATCTGTTATCTGTGTACCATCCCCCCATACACAGACCCCTCCCTTCCGGGGTGTCTTCCCCTCACCCTTCTCCTGGGCACAATACCCCCTCTCTGGGCATCTGACCTTTTTCCTGGGCACTGTACCCCCTGGGCATTTGAGCCTCCTTTTAGGCCCTAAAAGGCAATAAAGCTCACAGTAAAGTGCAGTGTGTATGAGTATATCACAAAAACTGAGGCCAGGTTCAGAAATGGGCGATTCCGGGACAATTGCACACAGCATTTACTGCGTGATCCCATTGATTTCAATGTGGTTACGTCCACACAACAATCACTAAAAAAAAGTACATGTACCTTTTTTTTTGCAACACACGATGCGCTGCTTTTTTTTTTAGCTCTGATCGTGTTCAATTGCACGGTCAGTATCTGCCCGGCGTGACTGGGGTGCCATTCGAAAATAATGGCACCGCCAGCGCGATCAGCAGTGGTGGGCGATTCCATGACCGCGAGGATGGCCACACAGTCATAGAATTGCCCACCACTGCCGATCATGCTGACGGTGCCATTATGCACAATTGCCGCACGGTCACGGATCGCCCACGTGTGAACCTAGCCTGACAGTAATGTGCAGTGTGTATGCGTATATCACAAAAACACAGTAATGTGCAGTGTGTATGATTATATCACTAAGCTTCGCAGCAACAAAACTCACAGTAACTCACATGCAAAAAAATAGAGCATGCAGCATTTTTTTGCTTTCACACTGGACCGGAATGCAGGCAATGTTTTGCCACGCGTCTGATCGCACTGCGGGTGGCTGCAGTGCCATAGACTTCAATGCACCGGCACGCCCCCTCCCGCCCCAGAACGCAGGGAGAAGTTTAGTGTGCGATTGCTGTGCGTTCCAGCAGCTACCGCTCTGGAACGCACTGCAATTGGTGTGAATGGGCCCTAAAAGGTGTTTTGAAATAAAAGTAAAAATGATTTAAAAAAATTATAGTTATGTACACACCCAGAAAATGAAATCATATTTAATATTACTAAACCAATTTATTTTATTTCCTTCCACAGCATTTATTTATATTTATTATTTTTAATACACACCCACAATAAACAGAAAATGAAATCTATATTAATACTACTAAACCAATTTATTTGATAATTTGTTTTCAATGATTAGCCCAGCAGTGGATACATTTATAATTTATTTACATTATTAATGAATTGATTTACAATTATTTGTTTGTTCCTTCTCCCTGGTGGTGTAGTGGGTAGCCCAGCTGCTGCAGGCATCAGAAAATGCAAGCATGTCTTCTACTATATCATTTTTTTTGGCAAGTTCTGCTGGCACCCCCCTGTAAACCATCCCCCTACACAGACTCCTTTTCCGGGTACCTTCTCCTCACCCTTCTCCTGGGCATAGTACAGGACAGCCTCCACCTTGGGGAAGTGTCGTCCATGGGGGCTCGGCTCTCTGCCGTGCACGTGCTGGAGGCTCCCCCAGGGCTCCGGGCGCTCGTCTACCTCCTGAGCATAGTAGTCCGGATGGACTTGCCCCGTCCTTCCCTCACCTTTCCAAAATTAGGCAGAACACCGGTTCTGAGCGTGGGGGATCAGTGACGGGCCCCCCCTGGCTTCAGGTCCTCTGGTAGTGCCCGAGTGACCAAATGGTCAGTCCGCCCCTGCTTGACAGCATACGTCCTCCAAAAGCACATTGTAGCAGGTGTTTTTATCTGAAATA